AATTCTTGTGTTGTCTATGCATAATGATGGTTTTATATTTTCCTTTCCAATTTGCATATGTTTTGAACCTTCTTATTGCACTAGCTGGGATTTCTAGTTCAATGAAGAATAGAAGTGTCTTTTCCTGATTTTGGGGAAGGAAGATTATTTTTCATCAATAATGATTTTAACTACAGATTTTTCACAGATGACTTTTATCAGGTTGATAATCCCTTCTATTCCTAGTTTACTGTTTTCGTAATAAAAGTCTGTTGAATTTTTTTCAACTGATTTTCTATTCCTATTGAGATAATCCTGTGGCTTTTTTTCTTTGCTATGCTAATAAGGTGAATTACATTGATTGTTTCATATTAAACTAATTTTGCATTGCTGAGATTAACACTGTTTCGTCATGACTTATTATCCTTTTCATATATTGCTGTTTCATATAGTTTGTCCAGTTTTGTAGTTGTTTACAATGAAAGTTCAAATCCAGTACCAGTTACTTCAACATGACTAAAAGTAAACCCACAAGTAAGCATTAACCTCAAGCCACAGTTAACTGTGAAGAAAGAAGTAGCCGTTACCAAAGTAGATGGTGTAAGAACAGAACCTTGTAAGATCCCACAAATCCTATTACCCTATTTCTGAAATAGGATATATACAAGAAATTCAGTTTAACTCCAGTCAAAAAATATTTATTAGGTCTCTGCTTTCTAACAGTTAACCTAAAAACTGATACAAGAAGTAAAATATACTGATATGAGCCACAAAATACACCCATCTCCTTCTTCTTTAAAAGTTACCAAGTTATAACTCAGAGATAGCTACGAGATTCATTACAATGAATGAATGCCTATTAAATTAAAATGCACAGAGTAACATTTGGGAGACAAGTATTCAAATCAGAAAGAAAAGGAAAATCCTGAGCTACCCTACTTAATGCCAACACTATTAGAAGAATCATGGCTGTCTAACAAAATTATATCACCTATCTTTAAAAAATTCAAATTAAGAAGTATGCCCTAAAAGAAAAATAGGTGTCATTTTAACTTGTAAAAATGGTTAGCAAACTATTTTATGTTCACGACTAAGTATTTATTAAATAACTTTAAAATTAATAGCAGAAATAGAAAATCCATACAATATAATGTATAACTTCCAAAGGCCTTTTTCCTCTTTTCATTTATACAGACCTTGGGGTTTCAGGCAGACAGTCATAAGGCAGGCTGCCAATATCAATTCACACTTGAGCAAAACTTCTGCCAATTAAAACTGAAACACCTGTCTGATTTAACCAAATTGTTCCCCTTTTCAACAATGAAAGGAAATTAAAAGCATTACTAAATGTCACTGACTTGGCTCATCTGAAAGGAAATAACGTAGATAAAATGGCTAATTTTAAATTATCAGGCCGATATAACATAAAGGCTCTCTAAAACAATATGGGTTATTTTTACAATGACTCATTCAGTTTTCCTGAAATGTGCAGATATCATATCTCAGAAATAGCACTACTTAATGACAACCTTAAAAAAAGTAAAGTGTTCCTTTTAGGACAAGCTTCTGATATTGCTGAATTAAAACATTTTCCCAACATATCTCACATATATTTCAACATGCTGCACCAACATAAAAATACTGGCAAAAACTTCAAAAAAGATTTTACCATTGTTTTAGTAAACTTTAGGACAGTTCATTAAAACTAAATGAAATTCACGACCAATAAGCCATTCATTTGTTTATTCAATAACTACCAAATGCCCAATAATTATGGTCCCTATCCCTTTAAGTCCTTACGATCTTCTGGTAAGAATATTAAGACTTCTATTGTACTTGCTCTTCTATCAGCAAAGGAAGACACCTCATAGCCTCAATAGTTCACAACCTCAGTCCCAGGCCAGAGCAGGGAATGGATGCTCAGCAAGACAGAGCATGCTGCTGCTTTCCTCTTCGTTCCCTCTCTCCCACATCTATAGCCAATTCCAAACAGGTCTTACCCACCTAAAAAATCCTAGTCCTTGAAAACTGGACTGCTCACCCACAAACCAGTGACCCTGAATGCTAGGCGTGCACCGGCTTCTACCTTCTCTGAAGTACTTTCATGTGCATTCTGTAACGTGATCCTCAAAACAAGTCTTCTGCGCTGAAGGAGGGGCACACCACTCCTTCCCCATTTTACAGAAGAGAAAGATGAAACCAGTGCTTGTCCTTACCGCTAGGTAAGGATCCACTAGTGGTACACCACATTAAAGTGGACCTACTAAATTATGGAACTAAGTGGAGCGATGCGCACTAAGCTGTGGGACAGACACACATCCTGTTCCAGGGTTCTAGTGTATTTCATTTCACTCCTATTGTGCATAATTTATTGAGCAACGACTATGAATAAAGCATTGAAGCACTGTACCAGGCCTTGTAGAAGACTCAGAGAAGAACAGAGCCAGTCCCTAAAACTGGGAGTTTACGGTCTTGAAGGGAAGATAAGACATATACATAAATAGTTATAAGTCCAAATGTGATTCTTGTTAAAAGAGGAGCACAAACAAAAGTTCAAGAGTTCAGAAGTGGGGTGGTACCTAAAAGTGTTCCCTCTTGCCTCAAATACTCTTTTGGAGTTATGCAGGTTATAAATAAATGATACTTTCATACAGGATATATAGTTACACAAGATACAAATTTCAGTGAAATTTTTCATTAACACCAGGGGCCACTTTCTAATCCATCTTATTTTCTGATTCAGTATCATGCACAAGGAAGGGATAAGAGGAGGACAGATGATGAAGGAAGAGTTGACAAGGGCTGATTTGGGTTTTTCTGGTGTATTCTGTATGGTTCCTCTGGGATTAAAAAAAAAATGGGTGCTGTAGAACACAAAGTAGGCACAGGGCTCATAAAAGCTCTCCTCACATTTAAGTTCCTTGCCCTACTACTCAGCAATTAAAGATCTCCCTGGGATTAACAAACTTGTCTCGTTAGAAGAGTTAGGCCTAGCACCATGAAGCACCGCAATCAAACATCTCTCCTCCAAAAGGACATCAGTCCCGAGGTCAGTTCTGATTTGGAAGAGCTGCAGGGGAGAGAGCAAAAAACTTATGCACTGTAAAGCCCTTGGGGGGAAAGTATGAAATTTGGATTTATGATCTTCACTGCAAGTGAGGAGGGATGCATTAACGACCACCAGAAGTTATCAGAGTCAATTACTTCAGAAGTACCTCGCAATATGGAGGAAAAAGAACGATAAAATAAATTTAAAAATAGAAAAGAAGTAGGATAAGAAAGGTTTAAAAAAGGAAGATATATACCCCCATCCACAAGAAAAGTTAAAAAAAAAAAAAACTGTTTGAATATAAATAGAGTATTTTAGTGTCTTTTCAGGATAATGTGGATAATACATATATCCCACAATAAAGCACTTATGAGACCAGTCCCAAGATGTTACTATTGACTGTCCCCCCAGGAGAGGCCAGCAGGAACATTTCCTGCCATGTGCTACATCCTGTTTACCTCAGTCATCAAAAAGACCCAAGTGTCCTAGCCTTCATTTATCATCTAGACACTTGTCCCCTCCAGCTCTGTACTTCCCTACGCTGACGTAAGCTCACCACCATTCCAGACCCCCGCATCCTCCCCTGTGCCTCACTTCATGCAGACCTGAGTTCAATGTCACCTTCCCACTGAGATCTTCCCCCCACCTTGCCTAAAACAGCCATTCTCATCCCATTGTTATTCTCTTAGCCTGCTTTATATTTCCCCTGCTCACCTCCATTAAACATCTATTAAACATCTATTGCTTTCTTTGTCTGCTCTGTATTTCCCCCACAGGAATATAAATTGATGAAAACTCCAAGAGCAAAAAGAATGTTTACTGCTGTATCCCCAGTGACCAATAGCACAATGCCTGGTATATATTAAGTATTCGATAGATACTGAAATGCATGAATAAATGGGAGGTGCATAATAATTTTTTAATATGTATATATTTTAAATGTGTGTAATATTTTATGTCAAATTCCTGATAGCATATGTTATGAATAAATAGGGACATTTCTACATAGTAAGCTACACACAGATATGCTATAATGATAAACACCAAAGATTTCTAAGTGGGAAAATAAAATAGGCACCAAGTACTCAAATGATTAACATCCAACCAGTTGCAAAATGATATGTAGAAAACAGTAACTTTCAAAATGTATACTACAGTACAAAGTAAGCTTTTCCTTCCACCAGATAAAAATATTTTATTTTTACCTTATCTGAAAAATAATAAAGAAAACATCAGAATTCTAACTTGATTCCTAACCACGCTATAAAAATGCTTTCAAAAAATGATGTATCTTAACCAACTTCTGTTCATTAAAGATATGTATATCTTCTTTTTCTCCATAAAGCTAAAGATACTGATTCCTTGCTCTGTGACTTTTCTCTTCTTGAAAAGCCTTCTTTGATCTTGAATCCTCAAACATCTATTACTCTCCTTTTTGCTACCCTTCTTCGCCAACGGTGACCTGTATCAACTTTATTTTTATACCCCATTCCCTCCTTAATTCTCTGTAATGAAACTGTCCTAGAGGTAAGCAATGCACCCCCAATCATCAAAGCCCACAGCCTTTTCTGACTACTCTGTGTTGTTGAATGCTAACAAGCAACCCTCATGCTCGTGACACCGCCTCCATCCTCAACCTCTGTAACACATGCTCTCCTGGTTCTGCTCCTGGCTCCCTCAAGTCCTGTACTCATCATGTCCGTGCACCTGTTATGTGCGATGCCCGGGGAACAGTGAACAAGAAATATTTGGTCACTGCCCTCAAACTCCAGCAGTATGAAGAAAAATATTTATTGTTTAAATCGGCAGCAAAATGGATGCAGTTTGGAAACTACAATGATGAGTTTTTGTTCCCTTAATGTCCTTAAGTGGCAGTGTTTCCATATGAGCAATCTGAGGCAAGAATATATCAGAGGCAAAATAATTTACAAGGAAAAACAATGAAAATGGAAAGAATAGAGACATTACTTACCGATATAAATGCCAGCAGCTCCTCTGCAGTTAATTTATGCACCGGGTTACTCTTTTGGAAATTTGTGCTTTAAATTAAAAAAAAAAAGCAAATTACTTCTAAAACGCATGTTTGTATCTAATGAAATATAATTTTTAAAAGGCAAAGTAAATTTATTTTACATATTTGAAAGCACATATTTTAACATTATTGTATTCTGTACAAATAGAGATATGAGTTTGCCAAAGTAAGTACGAAAGTAATAAAACGCTCACAAAAATGTGGCTGGCGTACTAAATATCAACAAAATTTATTTTACTGGGAAAAAAGAAATCCATCTGTGCCATTCTGCAAAGAAAATGAAAAGAATTAATATAACATCAACTCCTATTTATTAAATTCATGCCAAAAAATTAAAATATTATTATAATCATTTGATGATGTCTTAATTTTTGCCTGAGGCAAAACAATGTGACTTCTTAGATCCTGCTGGTTCAAGTATGATTTGGTATCGTAATTCTGGAAAACAATTAGTACTATCTTGTAAAGTGAACATTCATATAACCCGAACTCAGTAATTCCATCCTAGGTACTAGAGTCCAGAGAAATTCTTGAATGGGTAAATCAGAAATTAGGCACGCAAAAATCCATAGTAATATTGTGTGTAATAGGAAAAATCTGTTAACATTCCAATGTCCAAAGGAGACTATAAATTGAGAAATGTTCATCCAAAGGACTGCTATACTGCAAAGTAAATTGCAGCTACACATAAAACATGAATGAATCATACAAACACAATAATGAGAGAAAAAAGCGAATCACAAAAGACTACATACAGTAAGATAAAGCTCAAAGAAACAAAATGAAGCAATTGACTTTAGAGGTATAAAAATGTGAGTAAATACATTTTTTGAAAAGGCAAGAAAATGACAAACAAAATCTGGGATAGCGGCGTCATTCTGAGGAGAGGCAGGAGGAGATGGGCAAGAAGCATGCAGATTGGGCTAATGATATTTGTAATCTTCTAGTTCTTAAATTGGTTGGTAGGTTCATTTTATTATTACTCTATACACTTATATTTATATATTATATAAATTATTTTGTAAATGTTACTTATACTAAGAATGAAAAAAATACCACCCACAAAATAGTACCAGTTCCTTGTAATTTTCAATATTGTCTGGAGATTTTATAATGAACATAAAATATTTATATATTACTTTTTAAATGAACTTATTTTTATTGTCGGTAAGAAAAAATAAATGAATGAGGGAAGAATTATGAAATCGTTTTGTTTAAAACACACACAACACACACACATACATAAACTTTTCTAGTTTAACTGCACAAGGGAATTACGTGTCAGTTGGCAAAATGATCCAATTAACCGCTAAGGCTCTTTCCGTTCTAAGACTATGATGAGTAAACAGGAGCGTAAAAGTCTGTCCAAGAGAAGAACCTCATCCAAAATAGATCAACATTCACCTCTCACATATAAAATTCCAGTCTTTAATTCACTGCATAAAGTATACAGCTAAAGTGAAATGCTACAGGCTCATTACAAATAATTATGACATAGTCACTGAATAAGGCCATTCTTTACCATAATTTACTGATTTAGGTTTAGGATATATTACTATGCATACCTGAAAGTCATATTTAACTTAAAAGGAATTACTTTTTCCCACTCTGGTAGTCTAAACTACTGAAGGATTGCTATATTTTAAGGAAGTCTTCCCACGATTACATTACATAAAAGCAGTCAGGTATACTGAAGTATAAGAAACCGGGGCAAGTTATAGCATGTGGCCTTCAGGTAAAATCAAACTTGAGCAGGAGGCCAGAGAAGGGCAAGAGTCGAAGGGAAGAGGAAGAAGCTAGCCACCCTGTTTCACCAGTCTGCCACCTGTAAGATTCACCTTCGCTGTGTCTCCTTTCCAAACCAACCCATCCAACCACAACATCCAAGTCACCTCTTCATAGGGATTAATGGCTGTGGGGATACAAAAAAATATAAAAATAAAAGGAAAATCTATTTCCACCACAAATAAGGTTCTATAATATTAAAAAATAATTCTATCCTTTGAAAGGTAAATATCCTCAAAATAGTCAGTCTCACCTATCCTAAATACTTTATTAAGAGTCTAGTCCTAGCTAAGGCTAACCAAAGAAATGTTGCTTATGGAGGAAAGAGAAGAATTTGTATACCAACTCAAGGGAGATTCCAGAGACTCCTAATCTTCAGCCTTTTAATTGGTTGCCCAACGATTCTCGATCTTCACATGCATTACAAGATAACCTGTTCATCTAGAACTCTTGGGACCTCCTGAATAAAGATTCCCCCAACACAAGAGAACCAACACATGAGGTGTTCAAAGTAGCCAAGTGAGTCATTAACTTACCAGATTCCAAGGATAACAGCAAGCTCTTCAGCACACAGGTCGGGCATCTGAAACCGTTCACTATCTGCTAACTTTATCTCATTTAGAACAGTATCATCATTGAGCTCAAGATTCTAGTGGAATACAAAAGAAAATATTTAGACCAAAAGTTAAATCTGATTTATTCAATAGTCTGTATGCAATTAACTACTAGGGAGACAAATTACCTTTCATTTAAGATTATACAATGTCTATACATAGTTAACAGGCTTTCCTATGAAATACATATTTGGGGACAACTTACTGTGTAGAAATGGAGGTCATGTCACCTTCAGGAACACACTGACAATATCAATAATAAGGAAGAATTGTTATCGATTGAAACTACTATGCAAAATCCCCTTTACTGATACATCGAGATTCAAAACCAGATCTTTCTACTCTGCCTCTAAATTCTAATCTAAAATATAAACTCCCAACTCTGTTTTCAAAAGGATCTAGAATAGCCAAAACAACTTGAAAAAGAATAAAATCTGAGGACTTGAGAGGATATGATAGAATATTTGATTTTAAGAATTACTACAAAGCCAAGACAGGATGGTACTGGCATGAAGACAGACATACAGATGAATGGAATAAAACAACCCAAAACTTTGGACCTCCATTATACGGTCGATTGATTTTCAACGAAGATGCACAGGTGATTCAACAGAGGAAAGTCTTTTCACAAATGATTTTGGAATAAATGGATATTCATCTAGAAAAAAAGACTCTCACCCCTATCTCAAACCATATATAAAAATTAAATCAAAATCAATCACAGATCTTAATGTTGAGGGTAATAGTAAAATTTCTAGAAGATATTGTAGGAGAAAAGCTTTGCAACTTTGGGATGGACAGATAGTCCTTAATTAGGACATAAAAAAAACCTGAACCATCAGAGAAAAACTTAATAAATCAGAGTTTATCAAATTAAAAACTTCCTCTTTGAAAATACTGTTAAGAAAATGAATAGCCAAGCTACAGACTCAGAGAATACATTCACGAAACAAGTATCTGAAAAGGGGCTCATATTCAGAATATGGAAAATTCTTACAGCTCAATAAGATAAATTACCCAACGTAAAATTGGACACTTCATTTGTATAGACACTTCTATCTAAAAGAAGATAAACAAGTAGTCAATAAGCACACAAAAAGATCCTAGACAACAGTAGGCAACATGGAAATACTAATTAAAATCAGAAGAAACTATCAGTACACACACATTAGAATGGATAAAACTTAAACGACTGACACTACTAAATGTTGACAAGGATCTGGAAATTTCTTATATTGCTTGTAGAAATGTAAAATGGTAGCACCACAGAAAACAGTTTGCCAGTTTCTTATAATAAACATGCATTTACCATGTGAACTATCCATCCCACTAAGTAATTACCCATGAAAAATGAAAACATACATCCCCACAAAGACGTGTATATAAATGTTCATAGAAGTTTTATCTGTAACAGCCCCAAACTGGAACAACCTAAAAGCCTTTTTTCAGGTAAATAGATTTTATATATGTAGATTACATATATATATAATTATATAGATTATAGATTATAAATAGATTATAGATTATAGGTAAATAGATTATATAAATATAATCACACATACACTACATCCATCTAATGGAATTCTAATAAGTAATAAAAAGAAAGTACTGACACATGCAATCACATGGATAAATCTCAAAAACATTATGCTGAGCAAAAGAGACCAGATAAAAAAAAGTATATAATGGTAAAAAACTAAAAACCTCCCTCTAAGATCATGGACTAGGCAAGGCCACTGTTATTCAATATAACATTGGAGGTCCTAGTGAGTGCAATCAGACAAGAGAAAGATATAAAAGGCGTCCAAATAGGAAACGAAGAAGTCAAACTGTCAATATTTGCAGATGACATGATATACTATATAGAAAACCCTAATAACTCCACAAGAACACTACTAGAAACCATAAGCAAATACAGTAAAGTCTCTGGATACAAAATCAACATTCAAAAATTCATAGCGTTCCTATACTCTAATAACAAAGCATCAGAAAAAGAAGTGGAAAAAATAATTCCTTTTATAATTGCAAGAAAAAGAATAAGGTATCTAGGAATAAATGTAACAAAACATGTGAAGGACCTATATAATGAAAACTGTAAGATCCTATTAAAAGAAATTGAAGAAGATACAAATGGAAAGATATTCTGTGTTCTTGGATTGGAAGAATCAACATAGTTAAGATGACCTTATTACCTAAAG